GGCCTATCCCCCTTCAAACCCGCGCTGCTGCCCCCGCCTGTATTGGCGGAGGCAGCGGGGACACAGACCGCTGCTGTCCAGGCCGCCTCTTCCCCCGGTCTGGTCCGTCGGCTTCTCTTCCCCGTTCCGGTCGATCCTCCGCTCCCCCGTTCCGGATGCGGCTCCTCTGCCCCGCCCCCCTGCCTCCTCTTCATCTGCAGGCTGGGAGCCATACCCAGCCTGCTATTGGATATTGTAAAATGCAAAGGCCAATAGCAAGCTGGCCATTGCACCTGCCCACTGCCTGCTGTCAATCAGCATGGGAGGACCTGATAGAGAACTTTCTCCTCCAGGCCCCTCCTCCGCTGATTGATAGCAGACAGTGGGCAGATGCAATTTGAAATATCCAATAGCAGGCTGGCTATTGCTCAGAGCACTTTTTGTTTGGTGTGTCATTTTAAATAAAAAATTGTTTTTTTATTATATTATAATCTTTTGAACAACGGGAACAGACAGCAAAACAAACGTGACCCTTCCCTATGCTATCCAAAACTTAAAAAAAAAATGTTTGGCCGGAGTTGCACTTAAAAAATGTAACTGTTCCGACTTGCATACAAATTCAACTGAAGTACAAACCTCCAGTCCCTATCATGTAACCCGGGGACCCCCTGTAATGCGTTATTCAAGCAATTCTCTAGAATTTCCCATCTCACGATATACTCCTGGAGTAAACCTCTATTGACCTGTTATGACTTCTGGTATTGGGGCTAGTTCACACCAGCCCCGATTTTCTGGCCGGATCGCACTGGATCGCACTGGTGCCACTGAGTTCAATGCACCGGCACGCCCCCTCCCACCCCAAAACAAAGCGAGCCGGCCCAAATGCAATCCAGTGCGTTCCGGCCAGAATCGGAGGCTGCTGTGAACTAGCACTTAGGGTTTCAACGTGTAATGCAGACACACAGATTTAGCCGTTGGGATAAAGAACGTCTTCATTTATCCTAAAATTTAAACCAAGTTTCATAAACAAACATGTGACTTTTCGCAACCAGACGTGCAACTTTATATTAAAAGAAATAAACTTTATTGACTTGAACGCCATTTCTCTTATTACCCGAATATAAAACTTTAACAGTTCTCTGTTATTAGTGAAAGTATCAAGTAAGTTACTCAGCACCACAAAAAGCTTCTGCAGCTAGCACCACCGCAGTCTAAGGCCCCATTCACACTGAGCGATTTATCGCGCGGTATTGCGGATATTTACCGCACGATATCGCTCTCCAATGCAGGGCAATGGGGCTCTTGTCTGTCGCGGGTCGTGCGTCGCTACAGCAGGACCCTTTTTGGAGCAGATTTTGCCGCGATTCTAGTTTGCTCAATGCAACCATTTGCGCGATATCGCGCAAAATGCAAATCGCGCGACAAACGCGCGATTTGCGAATCGCTCAGTGTGAGTGGGGCCTAATAGAAGCCGCCGTACTCCCGGGTTATACTTCTATCTAGAGGACAGATCAATAAATTACTATTCTAATTCTCAAATACCTTCAGAGAAAAATGTCTCAGACCGCAATGTCGTTACTGCGTGGAAGTATAACAACCATTAGTTTTATCAGCTCCTCTCCTTCTCTCAGCATTGACAATAGAGGTAATTATCCCACTAAGAACATTGTTCCTGCCATTAACTATTCTCATTAGGGATACACCAATATATCGGCCGCCGAAACATATCGGCCGAAAGTGGCACGTTTGGCATAATGCCGAAAGTGCCATTTTCTGGCCGATATAGCGGCGCATCCGTGTTTTCTCTCCTCCCCGCTGGGCGCTGCTCTGTGTCCCTGCGGGGAGGAGAGAGACTGTCACAGGTGGCCGAGCGTTGTGAGCGGCCGGCGTCTCTCCTCCCTCACCGCTCAGCCTCCTATCACAGTCCGGCAGAGCGGTGTGTGGGCGGAGACAGCCCACGCTGTCACAGGAGGCTGGCCAGCGGTGCAGGGGAGGAGTCAGCTGTCAGATCGAGCTCTCCTTCCGCACCGCTCGCTCAGCCTCCTGTGACAGCGTGTCAGGATGGAGAGCGGAGTACGAGCGGTCAGAGATCAGTGATCGCTGAGTGTTTGTAAGTGATTGAGGACAGAGTGTGGCTACTATATCCTCAATTATGAATGAATGGGAAGTGATCTACATCCCCTCCTGTCCATTCATGATTGTGGTTATAGTAAACATACTCTGTCCTCGTGTTATGAATGATCAGGAACACTCAGCATAAAGGATTCCTGTTCATTGATAACAGGGGGCTGCAGAATAAGAGATTGACGGCTCTGTGTTCTCAATCTCTTTTTCTATTGTAAAAAAAAAGTCCTATCAGATGTCTATTTAGACCCCTAATATTTCCCCGAAGGCCCTAGAAGTTAAGTAAAATATTTAATTAAAAAAATTAATAAAAAAAATAAAGTTTTTATCAAAAATAAATAAAAATTAAATATTAAAAAAAATTGAAAAATTTTAAATATTTTCGGTTTCGGTCCGACATATTTTTATTTCAGTTTCGTTTTTAGTCTTGAAATTTTCATTTCGGCGCACCTCCTAACTCTCATAGGAACATTATGGATCTCGCTGCACGCTTGCTGGTCCCTTCTTGGTGTGGACGCTCCACGTGGTTTACAAAGCGCCTCGTTCTCGTCGGCATCAAATGTAAAATGCGTCTTCCCTGTGTCCCGGCCGACGTGATGTCTCCTGTGCGGTTTACGGCTGCGCAGCAAGTGCCGTGTTAGCTGGAGTCCCGCCGGGTAGATCAGAACGCTGAATTGTGCACGTCTGCCTACTGCCAGGAAGAGCTCAGGCAACAGGAAGTTGTCATGCAATCCGCCGTCCGATTTTTGTTTCGTTTGAAAAACAGCAAAATGGGGGGAAAAACGAAAAAAAAAAGTATTTTGGCGACAAAATTAACACTCCTGCAGTGAAGGACTGCTGCTCTCTGTGTGGAAACAGCGGTCTCCCTACTGAGGTCCAATATACCCCCTGCTGAGTAGAAAAGCATGCCCCCTGTCCGCATGCTGCAAAGAAGGACTGTTGCTCTCTTTACGGAAACAGCGGTCTCCCTACTGAGGTCCATTACACACCCTGCTGAGTATAAAAGCATGCCCCCTGTCCGCATGCTGCAGAGTTGGACTGTTGCTCTCTTTACGGAAACAGCGGTCTCCCTACTGAGGTCCATTACACACCCTGCTGAGTATAAAAGCATGCCCCCTGTCCGCATGCTGCAGAGTTGGACTGTTGCTCTCTTTACGGAAACAGCGGTCTCCCTACTGAGGTCCATTACACACCCTGCTGAGTATAAAAGCATGCCCCCTGTCCGCATGCTGCAGAGTTGGACTGTTGCTCTCTGTATGGAAGCAGTGGTCTCCCTGCTGAGGTCCAATATACCCCCCCTGCTGAGTAGAAAAGCCTGTCTGCATGCTGCAGAGTAGGACTCGTGTTCTCTGTGTGGAAGCAGTGGTCTCCCTGCTGAGGTCCAATACACCCCCTGCTGAGTAGAAAAGCCTGTCCCCTTATCTGCATGCTGCATAGGGGGACCCTTGCCCTCTCTATGGAAGCGGTGGTCTCCCTGCTGAGGTCCAATACACACCCTGCTGAGTAGAAAAGTTTGTCCCTTGTCTGCATGCTGCAGAGTTGGGCTGTTGCTCTCTGTGCGGAAGCAGTGGTCTCCCTGCTGAGGTCCGGCACCTATCCCTCTCCGATCAGCAACGCTCATGTGCTCTGCAGATTGCACGTCCAACTTGGCAGGAGGTGTTTTCGCATCTCTGCAGGGAGACCACTGCTTCCACACAGCGAGCAAGGGTCCCTCTATGCAGGATGCTGCTAGGGATCAGGCGGATCTGCTCCGGCTGTGGATGCTTTGGGAATAAAATATACTGGAAGACTTTTGCACAGCTCCTGGTTTTAGTACACGTGTAATGTAGGTCGCACATTTAAAATGGAGGTCGGATGGGGAATTGAAGTCCGTCACAGTTACAACACCCGTCCGTCTAAGAGGGTGACAACGCTGCTGTGCTGCATCACTGCAGAAGGAACAGTGTTGTCACCGGCATAATAAACTATGTTGGGGGGCAAAGCAGAAGCTGCTGCGTTGTGCCTTCTGGTGACGGGCGCAGCTCGTGTGTCATTCTCGATACTTCCACTTTAAGGTTCCTGTGCCGCCTTGCGGTTGCCGGCGCTGACGGAGTTAAGTTTGCTGCAAAAGAAAAAAAAAAATTCGTCTTTCAGCTTTTGTGGTGAGCTTCAGAGCTGCACGCCGGGCTCAACAGGAAACTCAGAAAGAAAAGGCACAAGTGGGCGGCGCCCCGGCTTTCTGAACTGTTTATTAGAGTCAGAAAAACCTAATATTAGCGAAAATCGCTGAATGCCGGGGCCCGTCACGGCGCGCGATGGCGGCTCACTTCCTTCCAGCCTGTCAGGTGAGTCTTTCAGGGGGTGCCAAGCGCCTCCTGCCGCGTCACTGCCTCCCGCGCCGGGTTCGGGGGGCTCGTTCACATTGCCAAACACCAATCCATCCTCTGACGAGGAGCTCGGGGGTGTAATTTGTGTCCCGCTTGACGTACGGATGTAACAATTATGCTAATTAGCCGTTTATTCCGTCAAGAAACAAAAGGCCGCGGCTCATTTCTCGCGGGCTGCGGGAAGAAAATGTTACCCCTTCGGGTTTTGATGTTGATAGATCGTGTTTGTGTGAAGCGGGAGGACAATATTTCCGGGGATGCCGGGGGGTTCCCCATAGAATTAGATCTGAAGTTTAATCTGCATATTTGTTGCCTTCTCCTTTCCCCTCCCCCCCATATCAACATGATGATGACATTATAAATAACACTTTTTTTAACCACCACCATCATCACCACCATGACTACTACCACCATCATCACCACCATGACTATTACTACCATTATTACTATCACCATGACTATTACCACCATTATTACTATCACCATGACTATTACCACCATCATCACCACCATGACTATTACCACCATTATTACTATCACCATGACTATTACCACCATCATCACCACCATGACTATTACCACCATTATTACTATCACCACCATCATCACTACCATGACTATTACCACCATCATCACCACCATGACTATTACCACCATTATTACTATCACCACCATCATCACCACCATGACTATTACCACCGCCACCATCATCACCACCACCATCGCCACGATCAGCATGATGATGATGATATTTTAAATAACACTTTTTAACCACCGTTACTACTACCACCATTACTACTACCACCACCATTATCACCATCATCATTATCACCATCATCACCACCACCACCATTACTACCACCACTACCATCATCACCACCACCATTACTACTACCACAACCATTATCATCACCACCATTACTTCCACTACCACCACCATTACTACTACCACCACCACCATTATCACCACCATCATCACCATTACTACTACCACAACCATTATCACCACCATCATCACCATTACTACTACCACAACCATTATCATCACCACCATTACTACTACCACCACCATTATCATCATCATCATCATCACCACCACCATTACTACTACCACCACCATCATCACCATTACTACTACCACCACCACCATTATCACCATCATCATCACCACCACCATTACTACCACCTTCATCATCGCCACCGCCATGATCAACCTGCTGACGATATTTTTAACGCTTTCCTTTTGTCATTGCACACCTTCTTTTAGACCCAGTGACACAATGACTTTCTCAAAAAGGAATGGAGGACTCTGCTCCTTCCTCTATAACTCTCCTCTCCTTTTTGAGAAAGTCATTGAACGAAACATGTCAAAGGAAAACCTGCCTTCATCTCTCTTAGCTGAGTGCTGCTAACGCTCAAAAGCTCGATTTTTTTCGTTGTTTCCGTAAGTGCATTTGAGTTCTTTTATGAAACATCCAGCGCATGTTATTGGGGATGCCAGTCGGAGGTCATCGGAGCTCCCGAGCTCAGGAGATTTCCAGTATAATAAGAAGCATTGGCGGAGGTCGGACTATGAACATGGAGGAGGCTGGGATGATGACTAAATATTTCCTTCTTGAGGGACACAAAGTCTTGGCTGTCGGGACATTCCGCTTTCCACTCACAAGTCTCTGTTCCTCGTTGCCGTCGCCTCTCCTAGGGGGGTATCTGAGCCGGCGGCCTTATTGCCCTTTCCTCTCCAACCTGCATGCCTGTTCTGGTCTGCGTCTCTGTTATATTGGGGGGCAGCCAGGCAGTTGGCTTTTTCAGCTGACGGGTGTTCCTCTTTATATCTGGATTACGGAGCTCAGCGTGTACTGTGAGTTCATGAAATCTCTGCGCCATGATAAAAAGTTTAGAAAGCGTAAAAGTTTTGTGTGGGTGGGAGGGACTCTGGCCACAAACTCGCGCTTTGTGATAACCCGATAACGGCGCGTGGTTAGTGCTTACACCGGGGAAAACCGGGGACTGTTCTAGTTACTTCGCTTCCTCTGCAGTCCTCGTGTCTTAGATAACTCGGTGACCATCATAGAGAGCGCCAAGGTGACATAGTGGCCTGCTCCCCGGATTCTAGGTTGGAGCTGTCTCTGTCCTGCTCCCCGGATTCTAGGTTGGAGCTGTCTCTGTCCTGCTCCCCGGATTCTAGGTTGGAGATGTCTCTGTCCTGCTATATATGACTGGCTCAGTGTTCTCTGTACAGCACCGCGGTAAAGGTCAGAGCTATATAAATGTGTGACTGCGGTGGAATTTGTGTGAATAGTTTATTGTTTTTAAGGAATAAAACGTTTTATTGTAACAATTTGTTTCCTTTGCCGGCAGATCTCCCAGTAAGCCTCTGACACGGAAACTGGTCAGCGATATGGACTGGGAAGTGACGAGCAGAAATTCTCTGTCTACCGACAGACTGGAGACTCAGAGCCTCCCCTCCAGGTCTCCGCCGGGGACACCCAATCCGTGAGTGCGCACACACACATACACCGGGGTGGACGTAGATCTGCATTACATTTACACATCGCTCCTTCTATTGGAAGCTCCGAGATGTTTCCTTAGATTGAAGATTTGCTGGGCGTTGTATTTGCATATACAGTGCCGATGTTCTATCGAAAGCTCCAACTCGTCGAAAGCTCCAACTACCTTAGTGCCGGGTACATGCAAGTTGGAGATTTCGGCGCTAGACTGAGATTTCGGAGCTTCTGTACAGCTGCATTTTAACAATATTCAGCAGGTGGCAAACTCGACGAGTATTCTAAAAACGCTCTGCGCGCATGCGCACCGCGACTGTACAGAGCTCCAGCCTTTCTGAGCACCGGAAGTGAGGTCGTTGGAGATCTCGATGAGTTGGAGCTTTCGATAGAACACCGGGACACATGTTCAGCCGTGTATTGTGCATCCCAATGGGAAACAGTTCCATTACCGTTTTCATTGCCTGGGGAAGTGTGACGTTGGGTACATACGGGAGGAATTTTGGCTGATTCGGCAGGAATCGGCTGACGTTCCATCCTAGGTGTCCCTCTCCCCTCCACAGAAGTGGATAGTTAGATTGACATTTGAAGAAGGGGCATGCTGGAAAGCCAATGAGCTGTAAGCACTATTCTGGTATTCTGATGACAGCGTCAGACCACTACAGAGAGGCCGCTGCTTTCGCACAGAGCACAAGCAGTCCTTAGCTGCTGATTGCTGGCAGGGGGCGGGCTGATTTAGGAGAGCTGGTGCTGTTCTAATAAACAAAGGATCAGAAGGAGTTTGAGCACTCACCTTTCACTGCACCCTAAATGTGTGTATATTCATTTCACACGGAGACTTCCATTGGGTTTTTAAGAGGGATGCACCGGTACCGAGTACTCATACTCGCACACATGCTCTCGATACTTATCCCGATAACGAAACTTTCTGTATCAGGAAGCCGGGCGGCGAGTCATTACACCCTTCCCCCGCTTCCGGATTGGCCGGCGCCATGCTCCTTCGTCACCAGGAAGCATGGATCTGGCTTCCTAGCCAATCAGGAAGCCGAGGCTGCGGGTATTGACTCGCCTGATTTCCCCCCCCCCTGGTTTTCTGATTGGTCTGGAAGCTGGCCAATCAGGAAGCTGGGCGGTGCCTACTCTACTGTGCAAGGCCAAATACACCTATTAAAAGGGAGCTAAGGCCAAACCTTTTTTTTTGGTGTTATTTCTCTTCTGGGTCACAGGAATATATTTCACTAATGTCCTCCTGTGCCCCAAACTCAGCATATAGCGGTCTATTACCCGCTATATGCTCCTGGTGCAGTATTGTTGGGATCCACCCCGTTGCTTGATTGACAGCTGGCTCTGCCTCTCTAGAGCCAGCTGTGACCGTCCCCTCCCGCGTCTGTCCCTCTAATGAGTGCTGGAGGAGCAGAGAGGGGAGAATCCCTTCGGGGAGCGGTCACTGCTCTCTGTAGGGAGAGGATTAGGAACTGAGCGATGAGCGGTTTGTGATCGCTCAGCCCTTGGCTCTAGCTGTGGGGATGAACGCATGTCTCTGAATGTACTCTGCATCTGTGTATTACATGCGACGCCCAACGCTAACCTCGCTGTTCTCTGCCCTCAGCCGAAATTCGACATTCAATCATGAGGGGACCCGTCTGCGCCCGTCCTCTGTAGGGCACCTGGTAGATCATGTGGTCCACGCGTCTCCTGGGAAAGTCTTCGCAAACCACAGATCTCCGTCCTCTACTCAGGCCAACAGCATAATCCTGGACTCTCCCCAGTAAGTGCCACTTACCTGAGATCTCTTCCCTCCTGTACAGGCGGAGCTGACAAGGCGCTTCTCTTATTCCCTTCATTTTGGTCTGGGCGGGTGTCAGTCTGGAGGAGTGGGCGTGTCTAGGCAGAAGACCGCCCTCGGTGACACCTACATGTTTGGAAAAAAATTAATGAAAGGGGCAGGGGTCAAGGAGAGTTAGGCTGGGAGGAAGGGACTAGATGAAGATGGCTGTTCTCCAGCCAGGAAATGAGGCGGGATCTATCTAACTTGCTGCAGCTTCTAATGCACATTGTGAGAAGCTCCCAGCGTGCAGTGACATCAGAGGAAGAGGGGAGGAGCCAGCACAACTGTGCAAGACTGAAGGGAAGGACGGAGGTCAGATAGAAGACTGAAGGGAAGGACGGAACTTGTATCTGAGTTCTCTGCGGGTGACATTTTCGGCAGAATTCAGAGTTCCGTTTCTTCCCGTCACAGATCACCAGACACGTCTCTGGAGGCTCCTCCCCCCGCGCTGCCACCGAAACAATCCAAGAAGAACAGTCTGAGCCAAATCTACCAATCGCAGCCGGAGCTGGAGAACCACGTCGGCGAGAACTACGACCCTCTGTGGTCCCCGGAGAAGAGCACGGTCAGCTCCCAACTTCTCGTTTCGTTTCCCTGCTGTGATTTCCTCTCCTCTCCCCACATCCCGCTGCAACTTCCCCATTCCGAGTCCAGAGGAAGTTCAGCCGGCCCCATGCAAAGCAGAACGGTGCTAAATATAGCGGAATACCTGAGAGCCGGGGAGAGGAGAGGAATCGTAACCAACTCTGACTGCAGAATTCCATGAGAACTCCCATGTCACACCGGAGGGCAGAGTATATCAGGAGAGGAGAGTTATAGAGGAAGGAGCAGAGAATTCCAGGAGAGGAGAGTTATAGAGGAAGGAGCAGAGAATTCCAGGAGAGGAGAGTTATAGAGGAAGGAGCAGAGAATTCCAGGAGAGGAGAGTTATAGAGGAAGGAGCAGAGAATTCCAGGAGAGGAGAGTTATAGAGGAAGGAGCAGAGAATTCCAGGAGAGGAGAGTTATAGAGGAAGGAGCAGAGAATTCCAGGAGAGGAGAGTTATAGAGGAAGGAGCAGAGAATTCCAGGAGAGGAGAGTTATAGAGGAAGGAGCAGAGAATTCCAGGAGAGGAGAGTTATAGAGGAAGGAGCAGAGAATTCCAGGAGAGGAGAGTTATAGAGGAAGGAGCAGAGAATTCCAGGAGAGGAGAGTTATAGAGGAAGGAGCAGAGAATTCCAGGAGAGGAGAGTTATAGAGGAAGGAGCAGAGAATTCCAGGAGAGGAGAGTTATAGAGGAAGGAGCAGAGAATTCCAGGAGAGGAGAGTTATAGAGGAAGGAGCAGAGAATTCCAGGAGAGGAGAGTTATAGAGGAAGGAGCAGAGAATTCCAGGAGAGGAGAGTTATAGAGGAAGGAGCAGAGAATTCCAGGAGAGGAGAGTTATAGAGGAAGGAGCAGAGAATTCCAGGAGAGGAGAGTTATAGAGGAAGGAGCAGAGAATTCCAGGAGAGGAGAGTTATAGAGGAAGGAGCAGAGAATTCCAGGAGAGGAGAGTTATAGAGGAAGGAGCAGAGAATTCCAGGAGAGGAGAGTTATAGAGGAAGGAGCAGAGAATTCCAGGAGAGGAGAGTTATAGAGGAAGGAGCAGAGAATTCCAGGAGAGGAGAGTTATAGAGGAAGGAGCAGAGAATTCCAGGAGAGGAGAGTTATAGAGGAAGGAGCAGAGAATTCCAGGAGAGGAGAGTTATAGAGGAAGGAGCAGAGAATTCCAGGAGAGGAGAGTTATAGAGGAAGGAGCAGAGAATTCCAGGAGAGGAGAGTTATAGAGGAAGGAGCAGAGAATTCCAGGAGAGGAGAGTTATAGAGGAAGGAGCAGAGAATTCCAGGAGAGGAGAGTTATAGAGGAAGGAGCAGAGAATTCCAGGAGAGGAGAGTTATAGAGGAAGGAGCAGAGAATTCCAGGAGAGGAGAGTTATAGAGGAAGGAGCAGAGAATTCCAGGAGAGGAGAGTTATAGAGGAAGGAGCAGAGAATTCCAGGAGAGGAGAGTTATAGAGGAAGGAGCAGAGAATTCCAGGAGAGGAGAGTTATAGAGGAAGGAGCAGAGAATTCCAGGAGAGGAGAGTTATAGAGGAAGGAGCAGAGAATTCCAGGAGAGGAGAGTTATAGAGGAAGGAGCAGAGAATTCCAGGAGAGGAGAGTTATAGAGGAAGGAGCAGAGAATTCCAGGAGAGGAGAGTTATAGAGGAAGGAGCAGAGAATTCCAGGAGAGGAGAGTTATAGAGGAAGGAGCAGAGAATTCCAGGAGAGGAGAGTTATAGAGGAAGGAGCAGAGAATTCCAGGAGAGGAGAGTTATAGAGGAAGGAGCAGAGAATTCCAGGAGAGGAGAGTTATAGAGGAAGGAGCAGAGTATATCAGGAGAGGAGAGTTATAGAGGAAGGAGCAGAGTTTGCAGTCTTTATAGAGGGGGGAGGGGATCTGTCTGGTACAATGGGGGGTACCCGGCTGTCTGATAACGGGGGGCACGTTCGCTCAGGATCACACATTGATACCCCCCTTGTATGTGTCTTGTAGCCCAATGGTCTCGTCCCCCATGACAATCTTGTGCTGATTAGAATGCGGCCAGATGACAGCGGACGCTTCGGGTTCAACGTAAAGGTAAAAACAAACGTCTGTTTTCTGGGCCTGTGTTGCAGTGGAGTGCAGTGCACGTCCGCCATCCTC